TATCTTCATCAAACTTAAGTGACGCGTTTGGTTCTTTGCCTATTATGTCTGAGATGACTATTGTCACCTTTTGAACGGTGGATCAGTTTCATTAGAAGCTTTCTTTCAGAAGCTAGTTAACTTCGGAATAAGTGAAAGCTGAACGTAAGACTAAATCCAAAACGAAACTTAAGTTACCGGTTTCTTAATCCTGACAGCATTTGAACTGGTTCAGCTTGATATTTAAATACTTAAGCTCGCAAAGTTATCACGAAAACGAACTATACCAAATCAAGTTTGTTCGATTGAGAAGTTATCTAAAGACTCCTTCGACACTAGTTAACACACTTAGAGGTGTTGAATTTAGTGATTCGGTGCCCCGAATTATGATTGCGAGCACGTTCCTGCCACAATGGCTTTTTGCAGTACTTGATTAATCTGATTTTTACATTTAGCGCTTTGTCAGACAGAAGTTGTCGCATCATCCCCGATCGTGTCAAAATCGTTTGTTTATAGTAAACATTCGAGACTGTCCTCAACTCATTAATCTAAAACGCATACCGAATGGTATATTGAAGATCGAAGACCCAGATAAAGATTTATGAGCGGCACAGTGTAATCAGATGTTTTCAATCGTGATAGATTTTTCCTTATTAACATATTATAGCCAAATGCAAGCTGCCTGGGCTAACCCGTACTTATAATGTATGTTGAGAAACGCATTTACTTTAGCCATGGATTGGATCAAAGTCGTTTACAAATACAGATTGGCTTAGCTCTATCAATACGGTCCACAAAAATACATGTGTCTCTTTATAGATACAAAACATACATATTGAGTACCAACTTCTTCCTAGGTCCTAACTCAGGAAACAGTGACTATTTTATGTGAATTGTGTGTTTAGCAATTCATGTGCATAGGCCAAAATATTAGCACATACATTGGACTTTCGAATGGTTATTGACCGTTAGCTAGGTTTTAGGTGGACCGTTTTTCTGGCCTTGAAGTCACGTGTATCAGGTAACATGGGTCGGCATTGACGCCATTTGAAAGCTGGGATTTGGCAGTAGTGGATTTGTTCAAATTGTTGTAAGGACTTTATTCGAATTTAGGATAAAGCTCCTAAAATCTGTAGAAGTCTACTACATTTAGCAATTTTCTTACGATAACACAGATGCTACCATGAGAAAAAAATTCTACTGCTTATAGTGAGGATGCGTCCTCGTCGATTGCAGGCTAATCACGGTTCTATCGCTATTATTTGGAAATTCCGATGTGAACGATTATAGCTGTAATGGTCGTAGAACGATTTGGTAAAATTACTGTGAAGGTTCAGCAATAGCGGTCTGTGAGTAGCTATGATACCGCCAAGGAACTAAACATGGAGCACGGAACAGCTTTAAACCATTAAGCTATAAAAAAAAAAGCTCAATGTTTTTCTGCGACACGAATTGACGCAAAAATGACGCAGCGAAATCGAACCATTTCGAACGAAGTGGGTAGTCACGGACGATGAAAAGTAGATCATAGAAAATAGTAAAGTACAAATAGAAAAAAGCAAAGAAAAAGATCACAATCTGTGACAAAGTCCAGATCACCGCAAAAGAGGGTGATGCCGTGCGTGTGGTGGAATTAAAAAGAAATCGCGTATTATATGAGGTGCTGCTGCTGCTGCCGCCGCCTGGAAAAATCATTCACTCGGTTTTTTCTAAGAATATAGAACGTACTCCGGCGGGGAGGCTTGGGCTGCTAAACGCTTACGTGAAAGGAACAGGATCAGTGGTTCGAGCTTTGTTATGGAAAGGTTGTACATGCAATGTTTTATAAAGTCAAAATATATAGAAATTATTTTGATTTTAAATCTTTTATATCTGGCGGTAACAAAACTTTATGTATCGTTTGCAATAGACATGTGGACCATATTTAAAAGTCAAGCGAATAACTTTAGTACATGGTGCTAATTGGCTCTTTTCTATCACCTAATCTTTCGCTTTTCTTACACTCAAACTAGAATGCCCTGAGACTGAATTCCTTACACGAACGAAAACCATCCATAATAGTCGGCAAGATAACTGCCTATATATTAAACGCCATTAACAAGGAAACGCGTAGACAGATCTGATTCGTTGCTGATATCTATGTATGCTCTTTCCCATGTACAACAGTATACATGTACATATTGTTAAATATACATAAATATACATAAATATTGTTAACTAAAGGAACTTTCTAAATGTCCTTTTTACACAATAAAATTTTTTCGCTTCTTCAAACGATATTTTCAGGATAACCTACGTTTATTTATACGTATTATACAAGCTTACTGTATAATGAATTTCCTTTTCTTTTGTTATCTGCTGTCCGGTAAGGAATCAGAACGGTTGTATCACTGTTTTTTGTATATACCCTATCCCCCTCACCGTCTACCAGTACCTTGTCAAGCATTGAACATTTCAAAAATATTATTCTTCCTTTTTTTTTCTACACAAACAATGACACGAAAATTTCAAAAGCGAATTAAGTGTTTTTCCAGAGAACGATATTTCTTATTTAGTGAAAGGCACAATTGATTAGGGTACTCTTGTATAATAGATACGCATTAAATGAACGCCCTTCCTTGAAGGAATAAAAAAAGCTAACGAAAGAGTAAAATGAGTCATGTATTTATTTACGTTTCGGGTTGCAGACGATGCGCAAATAATTCGAACCCAGCTGGAAGGTTGTAAGTGCGTTTTTACATTTGCTACTGAAAATTGCTACTAACAACGACTCTGGACAGTTTCAGTCATAAATAATGATGGACTTATGTTCAACGTCCAGTACGTAATTGCTTGCGGAAAGACATCCTCGCTCTCTGTGTTGTTATTAAATTTCTCTCAGTTGAAAAGTCTTCGAGATCTAGCAGTCTTCAGTTGAAGAGAAAATTGCTTTTTTTTTGGTTTTTTTTTACAGACAAACGCATTTACTTAAGAAGCCTCTTTATTAAAAATCGCTTGCACTACTTAAATGGCTTTAGTAGACCTTACGCTTAACTGTCACTTCCTTAGTCAGTTTTGGATCAGTGCCGTTTGATAAAGGAACGAGAGATGTCTTTAGTCCGGCAATTCTCATCGAAATTGAGACGGGGGAAAGCTGAAATAACTAAAAATCCCGAGGAGCTTCGTCGTCAAAACCGCCAAAGAGCTATCCATGACATAGTAAGTAAGATATCCAAATTCTATCACGACCCCGCATTTTTTTAGGCTATATTGCATTTATCGATGACGACAATTTGTATACTGTATTTCCAGTTGGCGATTTTCCATTGAGCCAAGTGATTGCATTGTACTGATTTTTTCGATCATAATGACGACTGGATATAAGGGAATCTAGCTCATATAAATTCAATCAAGGCTTTTCATGTCGTTTAAACTTTGGAAAGCCAAAATGGACGTTAAAAGCTGTTCACGTTCCCTCCTAACAACACCGCCGTGGTACGTGGCATCGTTCATCGATTGTTCATACGAACTGCTCGAAAGAAGAATCAATCTGAAATCAATCGAAGGTATAGCAAAGAAAGGTAGATGTGAAGTTATGCTATCAGTGTTAAATTATAGAAATGAAGAGGCGTCAATTCCCATTAACGATAATTGTTGTGAACTAATCCTATGCTTGCAGGATCTTCCTCGCACTTTGTTGACTCACACGGTCGTGGCGCCTCCTCACAGCGGATCTAACCTTCGGCGAATCTATATCAGAACCCCGCAAAACGAGACACTGGCCGAACGGACTTATCGGTAGGTTTATTAAGCTGAACAGAAAATGAATCCGCTCTTTATGTATTGATTTATAAAGAGGATCAATTTTTTGCCTCTGCTCTAGGCAGTTATTGTTCTATTTATAATCTATTTATGACCATTTTAGCAGATATTATTCGTTCGCAAGACAATTCCGAAATCATAACGTACGCGACTTTCAACGCAATGCACAACATGCCCATCATAACAGGATATTTTAGAAGTTTCACTGAACTCTGTCCTTCGTGCGGATGATGTCTGTTGTGCTTCAGGGAGGCGTACGACGACGTGCAGCGATGGAATCAGCATTACTGGAATGAACATAATCAATTGTTTCAACAAGAAAAAGCTCGCTTCGTTATGGCCAATAGCTCGAAACAGAATTTGCAACCTCTGGACGCGAAGAGAATGGCCGTTTTCTATAAACAGTTTCTTAATAACAACCAAAAAAAACACTGGAGGTAAGCAGTTGCTTTCTCTTTAATTGATAATAGAATTGTTACTGATAACGTTCCCTCCAAAAAGAGGATCATTACGTTAACCATGATATATTACTAGCTCGAAGAGACTTTCGGTGTTTCAAAACTATGCATTTTTTGTCACCTGGTTATTCGTTAAATATTAGCGTATTCTTCTGATGTCTGGTACTCTTAAGATTGTAGATTAAGTGATTAGCCCAGTAGTTAGTAAAATTTTTCCATAGCAAATGCAAGACGTTCTCACTAGCATTATTCGACCAAAAACGAGATGCATAATCGGTTCGGAAAAAAAAACTAAAAAAGGATCTTTAAAGCACACTTTTTCAGTGTGAAATTTCTGGAAAAACAGAAAGGGCTTGTTGCAGCCGTTCTATATGGCGGTAACTCTAGAATGTGCAAGCCTACCTTATCGGCAGCAATGTGGACTCTGCGCCAACACAAGGCAGTCTATAAGTTGCGTTACGTTGCCTCTAGAGCATTTTGTACCCTAATTTATTGAGCAGCTAGGATCAGGAGCTTAAGATCATAGGTATAAACCTATTTATAAGATGTAATAATATTGTGGAATGATGTTTTCTTTTTTTCTTTTCAGTTATAATTTAGAGTGGTATCGCCGACACTTCAGTCTATTACCGCTTGAATTTCGTGCACGTTTATCACGGCTAAAAATCACCTTTTTCGGGAGTCGAGAAAAAGGCCGAAAAAATAAAATTATTTACTAGGTTTTTGTAATAAAATTGTAATTCTTAATTACTGCATAATTCTTTTCCAATTTTTACAAGGTGTATGCTTATATATTAAAGATACATATGTCTTCTACTTTATATCTGGAAAAAATGTGCCGATAATTTATTTTCGTCGCCATATGCGTGCGTGTATTACTGTTATATGATAATGAACCGTCTTGTCAGTTATAAAGGCGGTGAGACAATGCATGTGCGTATTAACCTCGACATTTTAAAAAAATCATCAAATTTATCATTCGAAAGAGAGTTGTAGCAGAGCTTAAGCTTCGTGCTGATGTAACCGCTAATCTTAAACTTCATTGTACAGTTACAGTTTAATTAAAACCCTATGCTTGCAGAACATCGAGACTGATAAACTGGCGATGCACCAGCCGGTTTTGACAGTGTTTTTTCTACTTCTATTGTTATAGCAATGGAAAGGGAGGAGCCAAAACTCACTGGCATATTTTATCCAGTCGTACTTTATTTATCCTTAGACCTCATTCAATTTAACATTTTCGTTAGACCTTACTATATATGCTCACGTTGTATATGTGTGCTTCTTTTCTATACCATGCCGTCTTCAACATGTGTGACTGCATCATTACCTCTAAAAGTTGCAGGTGTTTTACGTTGTAACAACGTAAGGGATTTGACATCGCCACTAATTTCAGAACAGACTCAAAGGCCGCGACTTCAAAATAGCGCCTCTATATATTTCAGTCTGATAAGAGCCTCTTCACACGCTGATACATGTATTCATTCGGAGCTGCAAACTTATGCTTACCTCATCGCTGAGCCTACTCATCTTTCTTGTCCCTCTTCATTTCAACCAACTATCGTTAATAATTGTTATTCTAATAATAGTACTATTTATAAACAAAAACCAAGGATGACGTGTCGAAAAACAAATCATCCATACACACATAACGCATCCTAATTCGATAACCGCTTTTCAGTAACAGCTTCGACTTTTCTTCTGTTTGCCTCAACGTCTAATTTTCCTGTGATTACTGCTCGGCCTCGTATTGGCATAATTCAGTCTTCGATGATGCAATTCTGTTCAACTGACCTAGCTAACCACAACTACCCCACTTTATTTCCCACCCCTTGTTTTCGGAGGACGCGATGCCCGTAAAATTTAATGTGTAAGACTTCTGCTTTTGACGACAGTACACGCTAGCCTGCCATAGAACGAATCTAGGGCAGAATAGGAATGTAGTTGTCAATTTTGGATCGGTGCCTCTGTGCAACGCATTCAGCGATCCAGACAATGTTTCGCGCCTCCTGCTCCTTAAGCTTGACATATGAATAGAAAACACCGAAGTGGAACTGTAGCATGAACGAGTTGACGTTGAGCTGCACCTCGAATTCGAAGAACTTGTCTTCGAGCGTCTTGTCTCCACTTTCATTGCCAGCGCCTTCAAACAACGCCTTATATTCGGCGTAGTAGTCGGCGACCATCTTGACTTGATCGTAATCTTCGGCTTTGGCTAGCGCCGTCAAGCCGTCCGGATGAAGTTTCCCACAACGAGGGAATAACTTCATCCTTTCGTCCCGTTCGAGCTCGGTGCCGAACGAATTAATCGTGATGGTGAACGCACGGCGATCGGCCTCCAAAGCAAGAATTTCGCACATTACTTCGGCCGTTGTTCCGCCGATTTCCTTGCAGAATTTGTAGAACGCCTCGAGGTAGGCTTTGTACAGGGTATTACGAATGATCTCGATGTTCATTTCATCGAGATCATGCTCCGAGATACAGTCCTGAAAGAACGGAGCTAACGGCGTATCGACAATGACGGCGTTATATAGTTCAGCCGGATTCTGCGCGATGTTAATGGCCTCCATCTGATCGAACGATCCAAGCGGGTGGCACTTCGAAATCAGCTCCGAGATGGGCCGGTGGTGAAGTGTGCCCGTGATAAGTAGGACGATGTTATCGATCATGTACGAGTACCTGAGCGTTAAAAGAGGCGCGCGTTATTAAATAATCAATAAGTACTTTACTAACCTATTCGTGTAGGGTAGTGGAAAATGTTGTCGCACACATGGCGTCGTATATATGTATATATATACGTATATATATGGCACATGACCATGATTCTAGAAAAAAACGCCTACTTAATTTCTGACAGTTACCAATTTGTCTTTTGCCGTTCTATGTTTATAATCTTAAATAATAAATTGTAATTTATTTTTTTATACACCCGTCACGTTAACTTAATATTGTAACATATGGATAGCTAATATTGAAACTTTATGGTTATTTTTTTTTCTAACTACCAGCGTTAATTTTTAGTAGGGCGCACGAAGCGTATTTGTATCTCAATTTCTAAATTAACTACATTAAATACGCTATAATTACGAATATATTGTAGGTAGTGAGCATACGTTATGTAATCCAGAAACGTGGCTAGAGGTTCAGTAGCATGCGTACGTATGTGCTGGAACTCAATGACGAGCTTTTCACGAAGTTTTTCATCCATCGTTGATACAGCCAACGGTGACGGCTCATTTGCAAGAAAGTTGCCATAATCTGTCGATTGCAGGTGCAATTTCATGTCTGAAAACAATGAAACAGAACACAATTAGTTAATTCGAAGACGACCTAGAACGAGTTACCGGAACATGATTTTTGCCAGGATAAATGTGTGCAAAACAAACAGGCTTTACGAAGAAGCCCAAAATACTTGACAAATATATCATTTAAATTAACGTCTATCTAGAAGTTTTCTGATTTTTCTGCGTGAGCAGAAAATTTAAAGATCACAACCCAGTCGAGAATCCAAAAACCCTTCTTCCGTCGACAAAGATAAAGGGTACACAAGAAAAAAATTGGAGCATGAAACAATATTACTGTAAAAGGAAACTACTTATTTCGCACTTAGAAAGACTGTTACTCTCATAAATTGAGCGCTTGGTATAGTCTCGTAGCTTGCTATAAACGCTTACTAAACTAGTTGTAACAGACAGTAATGCATTTTGTGGAAGTTGACTTGTGTTCAATGTATCCAGTGGTTAAGAAAGCATGACGAGGCTCGAGTACTAGTTTTTTTAACATATCGTGTCAAAAATGTGAGCTCTTTAGATAGCCTGGATTCGAAATCCGAAACACGCTGTTAAGTGTGGAGGGGACCGAATACAAACGCAGTACCGATTTAGTAATTCTAGTAAAGTACAAATGGGAAACAGGAAAGGCAACCGCTTTTCCTGTTCCCCATCTGCTAAAGTCTCCAGGCAGAGCTAGGAAAGCTAATTTGGAAACACCATTTAGCATATTTTTTTAAAAGGAAACACTCTAGGAGAACTGAGGCAAAAAAGTACTTAACGAGCTAAGAAGTAAACGTGAATATTTCTTACTTTCATTTTGTTTTGTCCTAAAATAGACCGGCGACTAGCGTTTGCTCGATTCCATCGGTACGTATACCCTTAAATAGTGTATCATCTATCTAAATACTTTTAAAAAGTTCTAACAATAATCAATTAAGTGTTGAATTTATGTATGTAGCTTCACTGTCGACCTCCACATACGGGAACATGTCACCTACGTTGATTAAGAATTGGTTAATATTATCTCTAATAAGATATGAATCCATAATGTTATTACAGATTGCAGTTAGGATAACCTATGCCCCCCACAAAACCAAGCCACAATCTAAGCACATGCGATCGTTCATAATCTGCAAGGAGTACTAAGAGATGATAAATGCTTTCATTTCACCGCTTTCCAATGTAAAATCTATACTTGTCTTTCATGGCATAACGAAAAGAACGCCTTAATTAATTAAGTACTTTTGTAACAGATGAAAAACTGGCTGTATAAGTGCCATGGAGCTTGACGATGACGAGTCCAGTATGTTCCACCAGTGACTTTTGGTAGATGGGAGTTCAGCACCCCGGCTGAACAACTCACCCTCTAAGGTTTCGCATTGCACCAGATTGAGATAGTCGGCCTGGCGAAGGATGCCCGATTTAAAGCCGCGCACTAGGCCTTCCAGATAGCCAGCGTGCATATTAAAGAGGATTTCCAACATCGCTGTGGTTGTTGAAATTGCTTCAGTAGAAAAGAACACACAGGTCGTTACACAGTGCTGTATCTGTGAGAGCTTTTGACACTAGTACCAACAGTACTCGCCGTGTGGCAGCAAAGAAACCTCTCTGATCATATGACCACAAGATGGCGCCCAATCGCCGGATGTCAGCTGACTACCAACGTCGTCGCGCGAAATTTTGAACCCAGTTGTAAGCTATCATATCTTTGCTTCTGCTCAGTGGAACGTTGGTAGGTGCAAAGAAATTAAGTTTGGGCTAAAGCAACACTGTAGCGTACATACGCTATACAAAAAGGAAGAATGTATAGAGAAGATATTTTCTACGTAAGTACAACGCTACGTGCTTATCCGTGGGTGAAATTCATTGCTGCGAAGGTTAGAGATACAAGAGTCCCGCTGTATAGCGATAGGCTGACCTCACATTACCATTCCGTTCTACCTGCGTTCCGTCGATTTGGTACTGGGTGACGGTTCGCGCACGGTGATTTGTTGACGGTGTACGGCGCGCAAGCTGTTAAAGATCGCATTGAGCTTTCGCTGTTGTTTACGTCATTTATGGCAAACTTGATACTTATGGCGGTGTTTGTGTAAGAGAGGGGAAACTCTGGTGATTAGGGTGTTTTCGGAATGGTACATTTTGTGTGTTTTATACGAGCATTATTGTGATATCATAGAATATAATAGTCTGATTAATCGTTGTTGTTGTTGTTGATCAAAGTTTTGGGTCGAATAATATCATAAAATGGCTAGTGCGGTAGTTACTAAAGGCCTGAGGCACCTTGCCAGAAGTTTCGGAAGACAGACCCATTTTCTGACCGCGAGCCGTCGTCTCGTGCAGTCGTTACCAAAAATGCAGAGTAAGTGAAAATTGATATGAATAAGAACGTATTATATAATTCATCCATATAAAAATTACACACATAATGCTGGCACACCTTGAATGTGTCGCTCAGCACGTTTGTATTATAGCTGTTTAATGGCAACATGTCGCCAGAACTTAACGCTGTAGAAACGTTTGTTTGACTTTTTTTTTTTTAGAGAGCCGCAGATCATACTTGATGGATAATATTGGACTCATATTACAATGAATTTTGAGAATTTTATATTATAGGTTCTGCTAAGTATGCGATCTATTAAAGGCGCTCACTCATTTTATACATTATACATTGCATTACGTTTAGAGCCAATAAATAACATTGCAGTATATCCATTTTTGACCTGTCGTTGGGTCAAAGAGACCTTTGATCTGGCTCACGTTTGTTCATGTTGTAGGAGATGTTCCAGTGCTTTCATCGCGATCCTGCTCAGGCAAAGCTACTGTATACTTCCGGCATAGATTTACATTAACTAATATTGAAGCTCTTTAATAAATATATCATTGCTTTAAGATGCAAAATGAATTCTAATTTTAAACATAATTTTCAGTCAGAAAAATTATTTAACACATAAAATTATTTTGCTATGAAAATTCGAAAATAAATTGAAAATAAATATCATTTATACGTTTAAAGATACTTTGAAAATCAAATACTTATAGTCAAAGCTTACTAAATATTCTTTAAGTACGGAAGACCTGGTTGCAAACAGGGCCCGGTACTCTTTGAAATATAGCCTTAAAAAAACATTAACTTAAGTGCTATTAAAGACGGTGGCTGGGCAGTTCTTGCATCTGAACTTGTCCAAAACTCTATGTTTAAGTGTGAACACACGGAGCTAAATTTTGTTTACAGAACCCATAGGTGATAAAACTAAAAATATGAAAGTAAATTATTTAGAACAGACTGTCCAACCTTAAGGTAATACTCGTTATAGTAATCGTCGTCCAGTATAAAAAAAAGACTATATATATAAATACCACATATCAGAATGACGCAATAGACATTTGGCGACGTTTTTTATATTCGAGATGCACTTGTACCTGCTGGAGTTGGAGACCGATTACTCAGGTGTCGTCACTCGGGCTTGTAGCAGGCGAGTCCAGTAAGATGGGAAACTGTGTGTAGCTTAGGAATATAGGCTCAATTTTTGCACCGTACCGACGGAGACAGCTTGCCGTATAAACATTGTGAAGGTTCTACTTCTAGAAAAAGCGTGAAATGTTAGTTCAAACAATTAGTCTCGTAGAAGGCCCCTGCAAAGGTGAATAGTGAAAATGTGAGAAGTGCAATAGAGGCTGACCTACCCCAAAGTTCACCGGTGTAAAGTCTCAAGCGTAGTAAATGTAAAAACATTATATTTGCTCGCCTCATTAAATGCAGCATAATTCGAGCAGGCATTAAAAACGGAGACCCAGATGTAAATGCAACTGAATTAGCGGGACATCAGCCTAACGAAAATGTGCAGCTGCAAAAGCTTATGATTAGTGTGTAGTGATGATACGCAGATCTTATCCTATATAGGTTCATGAGTGCCTACTCCGTTGATTGTAGCTGAAGTATACAATTGGAAATGATCCAAAAAGTTCCCAAGGTAGTCAAGATTAGCTAACAAAGTAAATCGTTCTTGTTCCACGACAACGCTTGAGTACGACTGGAGGCTTTTTATCATCCCATCACACTCGTCACGCATTGCTGCCACAGATTACCGTTACAAAATTACAAGAACTCGATATAATGACATGGGAAATAGTTTAGTTCTCAACATAACGCCAAATTGTGTTTCATAGATTCTCGTAATCCAAACTTCTATAGAGCGGAGTAAACAAGTCATCTTTGCAACACCAAAAAGTCATAGATGGTGCATTTCGATTGAAGAAAAAAGAACTAAGCATAATAGAAGGTTAAAGTAGACTGCGTCAAGGTGCAATAAGGTAAATAACTTCGTTTCAATACGCATTTATGAGATCATCTATATTGTCTGATAAAGCAATTTATAGCTGTTTTAATAACTAACGTACGTGGTTAACTTCAGTAGAATCCGTAGAATGTTACAGTTCGGCAAAAACTGTGCTAACTGAGATTAATGATGTCTGCGTCTGCCCAATTCTATGAAGTCTGAATTTTACATGGTGTTCCTGTATATGATGAAAGTAAACCGCTGTATCTAATAATAGTGGATCGATAGCCTGTCTTGAACGGGCCGAGAGTCCTTTTTCAAGCTTGGCATTGTTCTGATAATGTCAATGCTCTTCGTATAGCTTTAGACCACAGGTACAAAATCATATTACTCAATCTACTTCACTGTTTTAATCAATAATAAATACACCTTGAAGAACTTCGTGACAGAAGTAATTAAGTTGGCTGTATTTTCGTAATTCATTTAGTATTGAAATTAGCGTTATTGACTGTATTGAAAGTATTACCTATATTCAAATGGCTGTTAAAACGAACTGTTGCGTTCATGGTTACAAATTGCTTCGAAAGATGTGGAAAAAACGTCGATTAGCTGTCAACGTACAGTCGCCATAGGCAAAAGTAGGTATTATCTAAAAGAAGTCCATATTGCATCATGGCGTGCATGAGAGAGATTCGAGGCTGAACGAAGGGGAGAGGAGGCCAAGGCATTGAGCGGAATTTTTTGGCGGGAATGAGCCTCCCAAATGCGGTTCAGTTTGCCGCGATAGTTCATTCAGTCAGCTGTTGATAGACAGAAGACTGTTCCGTCCTAATTCGAGCTAGCTGAGGCAGGACCAGGCGAAGACTTTGAAATACGTCACAGAACCTTTCTTCGGAGCACGCATTTGTGTCATTGAATTAGAAGTGGTGAGTGCAGCACACCATGAACGAAAATCGAACGCCAGGTATAGTGCAAAGATGATACAATAGTTTTATATATATGGAACTACTTATAAAACCAGGGGGTGCTAATGCTATGCGTGCTCGAATTAGTATGTCCACGAGCCCATAGTTAAGTAGCAATTCATTTGTTCTAACAGTTCGTCGTTTGTTCTATTTGAGCTTCTTGGCAGAACTCATGGAGAACTACTGTCCGAACGTTTCACGTCCGATAGTCAAGAAGACCAATCATCCATTTATTGTAAGTGAAGTAGTAACAGGTGCAGGGGGCACCAGGGTTCAGGTATCGGCCGAGAATCGTGTAGCTGACACAATAGTCCTCATGCATAAAAGAACACAATGATATTTTTATACATTTGTAATGGCATTGTTGTTGTTATTACTGTTCAAAAATACCAATAGCATCTTCGCAACTTGTGTGCCCAACCCAGTTAGAAATGAAGATTGCAGCAAAAGCAAACAAAATCCAGACGTAACTGTATAATGTAGACGACTGTCTCACTTCGTCGCGTCAGAACTGAGCAAGAAAAGCCGACATGACTGTTTGCGTTTCTTAATTGATCGGTGCTCATCGATCACAGAATGTGAAGATCTAATAATACCTGTCATGACAGTATGTCTAGACCTGAAAATATGTTTGAATTAGCCTAATTTACAGTTCCTCCAAAAGGACTAAAAATATCGACATCTATGTTCATTTTAATAGATTTTGTTGATATTTAACGTAGGGTTATATCCCAATTATGTAGTCGTATGGAACTAGTACAAACAGTGCTAGCGAACCGACCGGCGCAAAAACATCGCGGCGTTTATCACGCTAATTTCGTAAATATTTAGGACGTTTGCAAGTCTAGGTGCGACTAAATACGATTTTGAAAAAAAATTGAACTTTCCATTTTTATATACTTCTTATAAATCCACGGGTTCGCATCGATCATTGGTTATGAGATTGCCCGTAAGCCAATGCATTTTCGACTCTCTCAGTGAGACACAGTGAGGAGAATGTTGGCTAACTTACGAGTTAGAAAAAATTCAGGAGGCCTAAAGCACGCAGACCTAATAAGCTTGATGCGCGCAACAACTGACGATATAGTTGGAGGCAAAGACTGTACGGGTAATCAAGTAGTACAAACAGTTCTTTAAGCTAGCTAAATTAGTGCCAATGTTCGCAGTAGATCTTTTTATCAATTGTATTTACTGTATAGGAGAGGATGCGTGAAAAATTTTGCTAACGAAGTCACAAATGGGGCTGATTATCTAATGAACCTAATAGGTGACATTGCGTGGCTTGATCACACAGTTACTATTTCTAGGTTGAGGGGTGAGACAAAGATGAAATCCACCATTGATTGATAAGATAATTTAAAATGCTGCCGATTTTTTTAATGATAAATTTGTCGTATTTTTCATTCGACAGATCCTGGTAGAGGGTAATATTGGCAGCGGCAAGACGACTTTCCTTAAGCAGTTCGAACACCTTCCAAACGCAACCGTTATTCCTGAGCCCGTGAACCGATGGACAGCTGTCGGTGGACAGCACAATCTGTTACAGCTAATGTATGAGGAGCCAAAAAAGTACGCATTAGCATTACAAACCTATATTCAGCTGACGATGCTCCAGAATCATCGTCATCCTGTAACAACGGAATTCAAGTTGATGGAACGAAGTCTACACAGTGCGAGATATTGCTTTGTGGAAAATCTGTTTCGCAGGTACTTTTTCAAATTGGAACAGGGCACGGAATTGAAGAAAGTTTTGTAACGTACTAGATTGGCTTCCATTAGATGTGCTGGTTAGGATAAACAGAGATAGATTTATTTATTACAAGAACAAGAGCATTTGCAAATAATTTTGCGATATATTTGTTTGTGAATTTCAGTGGTGTGCTGAGCGAGGTAGAAACATTGGTTCTCGATGAGTGGTTTCAGCATTTAATAACGGCTGAAGCTGCCGCGTGCAAGGCTGATGTGGCTGTCTATCTCCGAACAGATCCTGAGGTAGCGCATTCTCTCCCTGCAAAATCTGTCCGACGTCGTTTAACACTGACGCATATATTATTCCTTCGTCTAGTAGGTTATATCATCTATATTAACTATACATCAGTGTCCATACACCTAAAGAAATATTATCACTTCGTATTTAGAAAGCACTTGTTTTTGATATCTTTGAAATTATCGTGACGGTTATTAGGGAGGCGAACAAGAAAAATTTAAACCTATAATCAAAACAAATTGACACGTTTCCCATATTTTTCCACATCGTATAGAAACCAATGACCGATTGACGCCTGTTTGATTACTGTAGGTGGCTTTAAGGCGGATACAGCTTCGTGCACGTGAAAGCGAGAAAACAGTTGGATTGGACTATCTGCGTTCGCTGCATGAACTTCACGAGGAGTGGTTTCTGAAGCAGAGTTATTTTCCTCTCCCATGCGAAAGAATTGTGGTACGTGAAATCTCTATCTATATTGTAACGAATCTAAAAAACGGTGCTTAATATGGTGGACCGGTATTATCGTTGCTTGATAGCCTGAACGTTCAAGTCTGAATCAGTGCATAGCTAAAATATTTATAAAGGTCGACCGCTTACTACCCAGCTAATTGAATTATTCAAATATGAGGGTAGGTGAAATGGTGATGCTCTATACGAGAAAGATAGTGACTAATTTCGAAAATGATTGATATATTTTTTTAATATCTTAAACAGTTTATGACGGACGTTAAATATATATGTAAAAAAAAAAAAAATGTTCTATTGAAGTGACACGATTGAATTTGACGCTTTAATCGTTCTTCAGGGGCACATTGTTTGTCTCGTATGAGTTTTACCATAGAAACGTAATATCTACCACGTTCAATCGAGTTTAACCGATCCGTTCCTGTTTCATTTTTTTTTTTCTAGTGTATCGATGCAAATCAAACAGCCGACATCGTTCGTGACGAATTTTATCGGCAAATGAGCCGATTCAATATCAACCCTCAACATCGTCTCACAAAACAAGGATGCAACACCATAAATGAAGACTAACTTATCCCATGAGTCGTTTCATACAGGATATGTGTAGACTTCGTGTTAGATTTTCAAACTTCTCGACTGTATGAGACTGGCTGAGTATACCTATTACTAAAGGTTGACCATAAACCGATAGGCTAATAAGGACGCGACAGATAGATGCTTCTCGCCTCATGTGTGATTGTTTCGTGTACAGAAAAATTGAGACGTTGTTATACCTTAATAACTGCATACTATCACCATCAAAACGGCAAGCTGCAATTCATTTTAGTGGTTTGTTAGCTTCTTCCATTTGTCAGCCACAGAAATAACTCCTCTGTTGTAAGTACATGTTGATATGTAGAAACATAAGGCCCTTCCAGGCCGTACCACCCAATGCGATTAGAACGAGTTTAGCAATGGTCATCAATACGATCACACGTAATTGTACGGTCCTGTGTATACCGATGCACCAATTCGTTCAAGGCAGAGCAGAAATAGGCAAAATCTATTAATATATATCTATCTATCTATCTATCTGACGTTGACGTGCGTATTAGTTCATGTGGGTTGCAGACCCACAAAAATGCATCTAGACATATAAAGTGTACACAAAGCAAGTATTTCAAGTATTGCTAACATTTTTTGCATGTTTTGTACTTAAAGCTTTAAACCGTGCACATATTTACATGAAGAATAGAACATAGAAATGTGGATATTCTTTTTGTAGTAGGCCAATCAGGGTAATTTTGAAAAAGTGGGGTTCACTATACTATAGAATACTTGGAGTATCATTGGTTGGATTAAACTGAATGGAAACGTTTTAAAAAATGTTTGCGTAAGTGAAGCTCACACCGATCTGTTTAGGCTATAATTATTAATGGCAATTAGTTGAATGTTAGTCATGCCGAGATAACCTTCTAGAGGATTGAGCTTGACGAAGCTTAGAAATTATAATTTCCTATAAGCTATACAAGAAGTAAGCATTCCTATGCGTTCGGCACTTGTTTTTCTGAGAATAAACTAACGCGTCTCTGATTATATATGTTTTGCTTTAAGCATTTGCTTTAAAGCAGACGCAAATGATGAAATAGTGATGAACCATTGCTCGAAAGCGTCATGAAACTGAAGTAATTCTTTGCAAATCAGGGAAATTGACATGCCTCGAAGGCTTAAGATGAATATAGCAGAAAAATAGCAATTGTTTTTTTTATAAACAAACCCATAACGGTCCAAACAATCCCTAAGTTACCCATACTGTACCGTACATGCCAAAAGGGTTGCTCAAGGTAAGATCTTTATTGTTTAGAATAGCCTTACCCTTTTTATATGCTAAGCTTTATTGGTGGATTCGATATATGTTTGTCCCAGTATAATGTTGCGTATTTTTTGTTTTATAATGCATTTTCAGCTAACTTAGCTCACAAAAAAATATGTTCAAAGTCATCGCGGTGTAAATACATCGATTTGATATTCAGCATATTAGAGATTGGTTTCCCACTACTTAATATCGAACTATTTATATACGTGAACCTCAGTGTTATGTGTCAATTAGGATAGCTCGCAGAAGACAAAAAAAGAAAGTGCGATTATATCTATATGCGTAAATAGTTTCCAACAAAATTTTTAAAAAATCGAATGGTAGGTTTGCATATTATAGTTTACGCTCTTTGGTCCCTTTTAGCTGGATCATTATTTTACCAGGACGTAAGTTACTGCTAGAGATGCCTATGTTGGATGCAAGAACTAGAAACTGAATGAAGTGACACTCGATAAGCCCTGTGGAAAGAAATCGTCTTTTTTTTTCCAAAGTACACCCGCCTTCAGAGAAATTTTCTTTTTTTTGATATATGACCTTAATGTAACTTTAAGGGTTAGCGGTCCACTACATATATTAACAACCTAGTAATAACCCATTAGCTTTTATTATTAATATGTTGCGCTTTCGTATCTCGTAGAAAAACTGTTCTAGTCTTGTACAGGTTTAATTTATATTCAAATATACTACGTATAAATAAAAATACTTAAGAACCAATCGAGTTATTTACGTTACATGTGTAGTTAGCTGTACGGAGGTAGTAAGGATAACATTTATCTAAATATACCTGAAAAGATACCTACAGATAATTATAGAGAAAATATCATCATTGTTGACGAAACCAGAGGGACACGTTTTGATTTCAAATTAGATTGTATTTTTAGTATTTTATACAGTCTCACCAACTTTTATACCTTAGCATAATTTACGTTTTAGAACATATCGTGATTTTTGTGTTTCGTGCATATCTCACATCAACAGAATTAATTGAATTGTAATTTATGCCATTATGGAATACGTAATACAAATTTCCATCTACACATTTTCATTTTTTTTTTAACACTTTTGTTTATTAAATAATCTTGAGTTATGATGAATGATCACTTGAGTCGTGCAGCACGCACGATTTCTTGTGCTCTATTCAGCATTCTAAATAATCTAAGGTGTAGGGCCTCTAGAGTTTGTTATTATTTTTGCACACAAGAGGGATCAGGTACAGCCCTATCCTGATATCATTTCGTTAATTGGTAAATAATATCCACCTAATCCTATCCATACCTAATATAACAGTAGGGATAATTCGTATTCTTTTCATGTATATAAACACTAGAAAAAATTATAAACAACGAAAGATGAGAAGGCTAAGGGTCTTTTCTTCGGTCGATGGGTCCATGTCTTTCTCCTACGGACGTGCACGCGTTAAGGTGCCTTTTAAAGTATCCTTGCAACCTGAACCATTGTGAACAGTTGGGACAGTTGTGGCCACCTTCATGGAACATGCTCATATGTCTTTGCAGATGCTTCTTCTGGAAATATTTTTCTCCGCAGATATTACATTTGTTCTTTTTGTCACAGCTCATAAACGGGTTAATAATAAGCTGAGAATGACCGCCATTGTTGCTGACGTCGCAGTCATTTTTCTTCAACGATTTTTGGCTTTTTCTCACATCAACAATGCTTTCGTTCTCCGAGTTTGTACCCATTGTCACCGCTGAATTCAACATTAATTCTTGATGAATTTTTTTAACGTGGCGGAGTAAGTAACGTTTTCTTTTAAATTTCAAATTGCAAAAACGACATATAGTGCCTGCATGATCCTCAGACTGTGCTCGCTTCTCTTGACTATTCATATCTGTATTCTGTATTTTTGTCGTATCTATCGTAGAGGGCGTCATCGTCGCCGGCCTCAATGTTAGCTTTTGATGAAACTTTCTAACGTGACGCATCATGTAGATCCTCTTTTTGAAAGTTGCTTTACAAAAGCGACAAATCATGTCCATGGAATTCGGAAGTTCTCGGTTTAGACCTTGTTTCTTAGGAACCGTCGCAGCGATTTGGGAATGTTTCGACACGTCCTGCGCATTAAGTCCTGAGCAAAGTGGGGCATGTTGGCGCAAATATTTAATCTTCTTGAACGTTTGAGGGCACTTGAGACACGGAACGCGTCTGTGAGCTCGTTCAATATGTTTCACACGCTCTTCGGCTGAGGAGCCTTTGAAAGAGCATATAGCACAGCGTTTCATCATTTTAGTTCACTGAACAGAAGCTTTTGTTGGAGATTTTCGTTAACCTCGCACAGAAACCAGGTATCGTATGCGCACAAACGATGCAGGCGATAGAACACGCGTAGTCGAGCTACATCATAGAAGTTCTTCGTTAAATTCAGGTCGTTTGATCGCTATCAATCATTTCATAGGAAGAAATCGACTTGTGGCTGTACAGCTTTTCTTTTACATCGATTTTAGAAGCTTGCCATAGTCTGCTGTTAATGTTATATGGGAAGAGGACGATTCACGAAATGCAAACAATTTAGTCAGTAAGGGGGCGCTGCGGTTGCTCAAATCGTGTAAAACTAGGGGGCGAACCGATCGCCCGATTCTTTAACCCTTCCTTTAATTTCCGTTGGTGGAATTCTATTATATCGAGAGAGTCTAATTTGGGAATGGTGTTGTTTAAACAGGTGAATGATGCCCAGTAAACTGTTGTTACCCCAAAAATGTAGCACATTAAGATTTTAATGAGATGTAGTTGTTGAAATGTAATAAACCTTGCTTACATGTTTTTATTATCGTATTATTTGAATCATACTTTATGTAAGTAACCCAAATATCGATTTAAAAACCTAATTCTGTTGTGAACAATTGTCTGTGTTGTTAGCAAATATTGGGCCTGTGCAAGCAATACATACACCAATTTACATGCAGTCAGTCTTTCCCTACGATGAACGTCTTTTAAAAATCTCATCTTAGCGATGCACAATTCTAAAGCTGATAAATATGCTTTTTTTTGTGTCAAAGCATAAAGCAAGAAGTGAAAGGTATCTACATACATTCAATTCACGTACACTGCCATAAGTTCGAATATGCACACATGACTGTTTCTGCAGTATTGCCTTTGGTGCTGGACTGGTCACCTCAGTTATGAGGATCAATGCGTTGCGACGCAAAACGGAATTAGGACCTCTCTCTCCCGTTTTCTCAACAGATATCCGTAAAGAAGGCGTAAATTAAATTATTCCAAAATATTCGAATCGTGATTTGCGTATAGATTACTCAGAAAAAAAGTATATATATGTAAGCTAGTGCTCTTTGGCATTTTTCATTTGCAAAAGCGTTTGGAAATTTGGATCATTAGTGTTAAAATACGGTAAAATTTTTGAGGAGTGGGTGATTATAAATGAGAATGAATCGAACGAATGGTGAAACATATCAAACTTGCCTTATTGAAGCATTTCTTTCTTATACGCAACCTCCACAAGTCGGCTACAAATTAGGGTACGCGGATACTTGAACATATGTTAGGGATCCGCACTTAACAAAATATGCTAACTAAAAGTTCTTTGTTGCTTAAATTAAAAAACACCTGAACATTTTTTAAGTTGTTTTATGTCCTACGCCAGATTTTATTTTAAAGAAGACAAAACGGGAATCAGATTATAGCAGTTATTTTGTTGGATATTCAAAGAGAAATTTTAAAAAATGTGCCCTTTATGAATAGATTTTCTTGCAGAAAATACATTATGGTGCCAAGATCGAACAATGCAAAATCGGTGGAGGGTTTTAAATGTGCGGATTAAAAGTGCTAGGTAAACTTTCGAAAGTGTCTATTCAGGCGAAATCTTCAGCTAAACACGTAGGTGACTTTTACTATCAACAAAGAGTTCCTATTCAATCCTAAAATCAAGATGTTGTTTCTACCGTCAAGCTTTACTTTTTGGTTGCGAGCTCAAACGGCATGAAGTACAAAATCCGCTTACAACAAAACTAGAGTTATTTCATTCAAGCGGATATTGGGCCAGTGAAGCCTTAACAACACTTGGGCGGTCCTACAACCATATAAATAAAAATTGAGATTTCTACATTCGGTTTTTAAGTCGATCTGCGATACTTCGGACGGCTGCCTCTACGGAACGCAAAACTTGTCTATGCGCGGTTTCGAACCTAGACCGCCCCATGTGTCCCTAAGTTGACGGCGCAAACAGATTATTACCGTACCACTGCGGAGCCGATCTATATCCATCTTTCTAATCAAGCGCCAAGTTTACTCTTAGCTTGTCTTAGCATTTCTTCTACCCGGAAGTGACAATGAGGATATTTAGTCGCACCGCCATGGCTGCTACCTGAATCCTTGTCCTGCGATACCATAGAAAAGAGCGCCACGGGCTAGCTAGTGAAAAAACAGAAGCTTAAAAAAGGAAAGTCTGGCCAAAGGATCTTACCTTGGAAGCTACGTTAGCCTTCTGGGTGTAGGTGGTTCAGTGGCAACTGGGTTGTAGATTAGGCTCATTGTGCGTTTTCGCTTGGTGAGAGAATGTCTCCTACAGTATTGGGCGATCTGTAGGCGTCATCCGCCTATATTTCTCACATTAGACGCTGATGTAGGAGCAACAACAACTGCACTTGTCTGTACAAAGCAAAGTTCGTCGGGGCACGACCTGTTGTAGCTTGCAGGTGTCAGGCCACGGCCCAACGATGTGTTCAGCTGTAAAATTAATTTTTATCCAGAAATTGTTCCTACGAGTAATTGGCGCCATTAGCATCAATTACTAGGTTACAAACAGGTGTTAAGTCGGCATTAGATATGGGTGTTTAATGGTATATACATATCCACAAATAGACATAGTGAGAAAATGAGAAATACAGGACGCGGTTCTTGCGGGTTATTGCATAGTGAGGGAACGCTCACAGAACGCTCGGGGGTAACCCGGCGATCACCATTTAGCGGCAGGAAGTTACTAAGCACAGTAAGGGCAAGCGAGAGAGTGAAGGGAGCATATACGAGGGGCTGCAACCAAACTGGGATGGACTCAGCAGAAGAGTGAAGAGGCATGGGCCATAGGTGTGGATGCTGTTTAGGACCCATTGGAGGTCCCACGTGCTAAATTGCAACGCACGGTTACTTACACAGTTCTCGAGTTACTTGTTGTCATCTACTGTGATCATGTGCCAGCCAGCTCACTTTATCGATAGATGGTGGAAAGCGTGAGCCTCAGCTGGATATCCGGTTTCGTAGAGTAAAAGAGGTGTCATACTAAGTCGGTGTTTGTATGTATGGGTGAGGGAATAGGGGGAGGGGAGGGGGGCAAAGTAGCTGCTTTTCTGCCCCAGGGCAACCCGAGATGAACAAATCGAGAATGTGCTTACTTCTATGAGCGAACTCGAGGCTTTACCGAATAGAAAGACTGGCACTGTGCACTAAGATACATGAGGGCGGGCTGCCGACATAATTTGGTTTTTATGTCTTCTGACCGCAGAAGTACAGTACGGTTCTCCAATGCATGTACACTAATTGTGAGAAATATTTTAGTCGTAATATAAACATAGAATCGATTCTATTTAGTCGTTTGACTGTAACACAGAAATTACGTACGTTCTTAGCTAAGCAACTCAACGAAATCTTTTCGATTTGGTGAGA